GTTTCCTGCTCTGGTTTCCTCCTTCAACCGAACCGGGATGAGAAAAGTTTTGGACCGGCTCTGGTTCGCCTCCCTTTGCTCTCCGAACCGAGTCCAAGTGCGCCACGCCGCAGCAGCTCCTCACTGTCGAACCCGAGCCTCAGGCGGCCGCTGAGAAAGAGAACTTCCGCTGACCAATCACCTGCGGCCTGACCTCTGGCTGACATCTGCTCTGACCAATCACATCCACCGAAATGGGCGTGGCGAAAACTGGCACCGCCCTCTTTAAACCCAGGACAAAAAATGAGGAGGAGCAGAAAGTTGAGAGATTTTGGACCCTGGTTCTGGTTTCCTGCTCCGATTGAGCAAAGAAAAGCGTCACATGTTCCAACACAGCAAAGCCTGGTTGGTTAGAAGATAATAGCCACAGTCACAGTCAGCACAGAGGTGGTGGAGTGATGCTTTGGGCCTGTTTAGCTGCTCTGAAGTCAGCAGCTCTCTCTGGGTCTCATTGCTCTGTTGGGTGAAACCCAGAGAAGCAGTAGTTTGGAAATCAGTCAGAAGGTGTCATTAAGCAGCAGCAGGACAGATTTCCTGGTTTAGCGGAGATGAGTAATCACAGAGTTCCTCAATGCTGCAGAGAAATGCTGCATTCAGGGCACCTGGGAAATAAAAAAAAGTTTAACCTTCTTCAACCTGAGCTGTAATCAGCAACACCATCCTCTGCAGTGATCGATAAAGTTTCCTCTGATGTTCCCTCAGGGAGGAGCAGAGGAGCTGAGCTTAAGGTTCACACGGAGGAGGAGGATGAGGAGGAGGAAGAGGAGGATTTTGTGATTGGAATGGAATTTCTCCATGGTTGGATGGATGGGTGATGGATGAATGGATGAATGGATGGATGGATGGATGGATGGATGGATGGATGATGGATGGATGGTAGATGGATGGATGAAGGATGGATGGATGGACGATGGATGGATGGATGATGGATGGATGGATGGATGGATGGATGGATGGATGGATGATGGATGGATGGATGGATGGATGATGGATGGATGGATGGATGATGGATTCATGGATGGATGGTAGATGGATGGACGATGGATGGATGGATGGATGGATGATGGATGGATGGATGGATGGATGGATGATGGATGGATGGATGATGGATGTATGGATGGATGATGGATGGATGGATGGATGATGGATTCATGGATGGATGGATGGATGGATGATGGATGGATGGATGGATGGATGGATGGATGATGGATGGATGGATGGATGGATGGATGGATGGATGGATGGATGATGGATGGATGGATGGATTCATGGATGGATGGATGGATGGATGATGGATGGATGGATGGATGGATGATGGATGGATGGATGGATGGATGGATGATGGATGGATGATGGATTCATGGATGGATGGATGGATGGATGGATGGATGGATGATGGATTCATGGATGGATGGATGATGGATGGATGGATGGATGGATGATGGATGTATGGATGGATGATGGATGGATGGATGGATGATGGATTCATGGATGGATGGATGGATGGATGATGGATGGATGGATGGATGATGGATGGATGGATGGATGGATGGATGGATGGATGGATGGATGATGGATGGATGATGGATTCATGGATGGATGGATGGATGGATGGATGGATGGATGGATGATGGATTCATGGATGGATGGATGGATGGATGGATGATGGATTCATGGATGGATGGATGGATGGATGATGGATGGATGGATGGATGATGGATTCATGGATGGATGGATGGATGGATGGATGGATGGATGATGGATGGATGGATGGATGGATGGATGGATGGATGGATGGATGATGGATGGATGGATGGATGGATGGATGGATGATGGATGGATGGATGGATGGATGGATGGATGGATGGATGGATGGATGGATGGATGGATGCTATCAGTGGTTCTGAACTCAGTCTCTCTGGATCAATGATCCGTTTCTCAGGTCGGATCAGAACCAGACGGCCCGTTAGAGCTGAGTCAGTCTGGAAGTGATGCAGCAGGAAACCAGTCATTCAGAGAGAACCAGGCAGGCTTCAGTTGGACAGCCTGAAACCCAGCCTGTACGGCGGCCATCTTGAAAGAAATTTTGAGGTTAAAGCAGTTCTCTATTTTTCCATCCAGTGGTTGTTCCGTGTGTCTGCAGGCCCAGCTGCTGCAGGCCGGTTATCTTTAGTCTCTCAGCAGGGAGGATGAGGATGATGGAAGCTGCCCTGATTAGCAGCCGTTGCCTAGCAACCCGTGGTCTGTTTACAGCCTGGGAGTGGGTTGGTACCAGACTAATGAGCTGCAGAGGATCTAAAGTCCAGCTGAAATTATTTTTATGATGTTGGAGTTTCCAGCATGTTTCCTCACCTCTCTGATCACGTGACCAGGCTGGACCAATCAGGAGAGAGCAGGTGGACCAGCCAGTCCCCTGCAGGCCTGAGGGGTGAGGTCGCCCTCACCCCTCAGGCCTGCAGGGTTCAGCTGCTCATGTGACTCTAATTTCCTGCTGATGTTCAGAGACCTAAAAAAGCCCCAAACCCAGATCTAAACCAAACAGAATCAGAAAGACAGTTTGGTTCTGAGGTTAAATCATCTCATAAAAGGATTAGAGGAAGATTTAGTTTGATTTCTGGACTAACTGTCTGATTTATTTGCTCCATGGCTCTAAAGCTAAACAGGTCCAGAAGCAGAGAGGGAAGAGTCAGAACCACCTGAGCCCTGAACGGGAAACGAGTCAAACAGTCGTAAATATTTTAAGTTTTGAAGTTCAACTTTGGACCGTTTTTATCAGAACCAGGGTCAGTCCCGGTATGAAGCCTCTAAACTGGACCCGTCTGTCCTTCAGGTTCTGGTCTCTTTTACCTCCAGCAGAGGAAACTCAAAGCTGCTGCATCATGTCTGATCAGCTGCTGCTGAGTCACCTGCTATCAGCTGCGCCTCTGCTGCCTTCAGGGGAAAAATGGTGAAGAGAAGTTAGATTCTCCTGATGAGTCAGAACTGAGACCAGAACCTGAACAGAACCGATTCTGGGCCAGCCAGGAACCAGCTTCCTGGGACAGACTGATGGTGATCTATGAGGCAAACTGGTTCAATGAAAAATAATAATCATATTTTAATTCAATTTGAAAATAAGGACATCTTCCTCCAGTAGGGGGCAGCTCTGAGCAAGCCCAGTTTCTTGTAGGTTGTGTTGGTGAAGATTCCCAGTCATCCAGGTCATAGTCATTCCTAAAAAGTTTAAAATCAATCCTCTGGACTTTGTTTCCAAGTCTGAAGACGTTTCTCTTCCATCCAGGAAGATTTTTCAATTCAAAATGTCAGAAATAGCGTTTAGTTCCAGGTTTTATCCAGCAGCCCAACAAAGCCTGGTTTTAGTTTCGAAAACATGCAAATAGAAACGGATGAACGGGTCCCCCCCTTTGGAATGGGGGTCGTTTGGCTTCTTTGTTAGCCTGCAATGCCCCATACCTGTCTATGTCTCTGAAAGGGGGGGGTCGTTAGAGGGAATTGTCATTAAATTGTTTAATTGGGATTTCAGTTTTCAAAAACCTACAATTCAGCAATAGGGCTGATTCCTTCCCCTATAATTGCAACCTCTTTACAGGGAAACAGAAGACCTAAGTCTGGATCATTAAAAGGTCCAAAACAAAACCAACATCAGCCCCAAATAACATCAGAACCAGTCTAGACCCGGTCCAAATCTATGCTGTGTTTACATCTTCACTTAGCAGCTAAACCAGTTCAGAACCAAATAAAAGAGAGAGTGTAAACAGATTTGTGGATCGGAACAGAACCAGTGGATCTGGTTAGAAGTGTTTCAGGGTTCTGTCCTCATCCTGATCCGGTTCTGTGTGACTGAACCAGAACCGGATCAGTTCTCATTCCTGCTGCCTCCTCAGTCCCGTCTGTCTGCATTCATCAGATGTTATCAGCAGCAGACGGTCAGAGAAGAGACAGGAAGTGATGTCATAGATGGTAAAAGCAGACCGACAGGCTCACAAAACCAAGATGGAATCCAATCCTGAACTGGTTTCAGAGGCCTAACCAGTCTCTGGGTTTCATCTGACTGGGATGAACTCATAGAACCACCATGTTACCCGTGGGTCGGTTCCGGTCCGTCTGGATCCACTGATGCCTGCATGGATCCCATCAGGATGGAACCGGCCTCCAGGTCCAGGCTGTGAGGGACGGGTTCTGATCTTCAGACGCAGCAGGAATCGGGTTCTGTTCAGGACCGGTTCTGCTACGTTCAGCCGCTTCATTCAGATTCTGTTTGCAGAAACAGAACAAATAGAAGTGTGTGAATGAGTGAGTATCCACTCTGTTTATAGAGCCGTGGGAGTGTGTTTATTCAGAGCGCTGTGATGTGGTTCTGATCCAAACAAAGGCTCTTCTGTCTGGGCTGCTGGCACCGACAGAAGGTCCTGTGTTGGTCTGACTGGATTATGAGGAAGATGATGGTGGCAGCTGGTTATGATGAAGACTATGGTCCAAACCGCCTCCCCACAGACCATGCAGCAAGAATCAGAACCGTTCAGGCCTGAAGAAGAACCCTGATTGGACCAACAGCAGATTAACCACCTTCAGTCACTCAGTCGGAAATTATTCCTGATTTACGTTTTATTTCCAAACATCAATAAAAAGTTCAAAGCGACATAATCTAGAAAAAACAGTTCTGATGTCTGATAAAAGATGGAGTTCTGCGTTCCTTTGTGTTCCGTCTCTAACCGGGCCGACCCAACAGGTACCGGTGCTGAGATCTAGCTTAGACCGGTGGACTGCAGGGCAAAGAAACAATTCTATACGGAAGAAAGACGTAAACTCAGCAGGATTAAACGTCTAATTAAAGCAGAGATAAGTAAAGTTCTGGAAAACTAACATTCAGGAAAATAAAGTTCAGTAACTTTAGCAGATAGAACCGGTAGCAGGTAAACTGAGGTAAATGAAAAGTAAAGCTAATGTAAAGTACTGCCAGTAAAGTAAAATAAAGTCAAAAGAAATTCAGTCACATCAGATCCAATAAAGGAGACTGGTTTGTAGTTCAGATCCCAGCAGAACCTCTGGGTTCTACCACAGACCACAGAAGTTCTGGCTGAGCTCCCACAGCTTCCTGGCAGCAGCCGGGTCTCTGGCCTTGGACTCCATGTCCGTCCGTGGCCTGCAGCACCTGAAGAAGTGACCGCTGAGGGGTTCGATGCCTTGCTCCAGGGCACAGTGCAAAGTGGTCTGAGCTCCAGACTCTGGGTCCATGAAGAACAGGAGGACGATGGGCGCCACCAAGACCTTCATCCAGAATCCAAGGTACCGACCCAGATCTGTCCGAATGAGTCCTGCAGAACCAGAAGAAGAAGTTGAGCAGACGGCCACCATGCAGAACCTCCGAACCTCTGCAGAACGTCTGCAGAACCTCCAAATGCCTGCAGAACATCTGCAGAACCTCCGAACATCTGCAGAACGTCTGCAGAACGTTTGCAGAACGTCTGCAGAACCTCCGAACATCTGCAGAACGTCTGCAGAACGTCTGCAGAATCTCTGCAGAACCTCCGAACATCTGCAGAACGTCTGCAGAACGTCTGCAGAATCTCTGCAGAACCTCCGAACATCTGCAGATCGTCTGCAGAACCTCCGAACATCTGCAGATCGTCTGCAGAACCTCCGAACATCTGCAGATCGTCTGCAGAACCTCTGAACGTCTGCAGAACGTCCACTGACCTGGATGGAGGCAGTAGCAGGTGACCTGGCTGCCCTGCAGCCTCCTGGACAGCTCCCAGGTGAACAGGATGTTGCACAGCTTGCTGTCGCAGTACTTCCTGTAGGTCTGCCTGAAGCCGCAGCCCTCAGCCGAATCCCTGAGGTCCACCATGACACTGAAGTCCAGCTGGCCCCGTCCGTAGGAGCTGGAGGCCACGGTGACCACGCGGCTCGGCCCGCTGGCCTTCAGCCGCTCCAGAAGCAGCAGGGTCAGCAGGAAGTGGCCCAGATGGTTGGCCCCGAACATCAAGCCGAAGCCGTCGTCCGTCTGGCCGTCTCTGAGGACACCTGGAGACAAAGACCATCACCTTCACCTCCAAACCCCCGCTGGTCTGATCCCTGAACCCCAGCTGAGTTCTGACCCGCGTTGTTGATGAGCAGATCCAGCCTGGACTCGGAGCGCAGGAAGTTCTCAGCGAAGGTCCGGACCGACAGCAGGCTGGCCAGGTCCAGCTGCATGAAGAGCACCTGCTGGTTCCCCGTCTCCTGCTCAGAAACCAGACATCCATCAGAGCGGCTCCTGGCCCTCAGAGGAGTCACAGAGGACCTCCTCCCATTACCTGGATGATGTCACGGACCGCAGCATCGGCCCGCTCTCTGTCCCTGCAGGCCAGGACCACCCGGGCCCCCCTCCTGGCAAGCTCCAGCGCCGTGGCCTTCCCGATCCCACCGCTGGCTCCTGAAACAGGAAGAACATCAGCTTAGAGGAAGCAGGTCTCTGAAGGAGCTGCTGCTGCTTTACTGGGAATCACTCGGAAAAATGGTTATTCCTGCAGCTTGCAGACACCTAAACGCACCGCAGCCTCTCTGCTTCTGGAATGTTCAACATCTCAGCAGCTTTAAGAGAAACCTCAGAGCCAAGGAGACAAACCTGCAGAAGAAACCAGGAACCAAACGGCTGAGAGGAGGAGAGCAGGAAGGTTAGACATAGATAAACAAGAGATAGAGCAGAACATGGTGACACTGAGTCCAGAACAAGCAGCCGGGCTCAGATTAGATCCTGTCTGTTTCTGGATCAGTCGGACGCTTCATATCATAAACAAACTGTTTTTATCAGAGGAGTTAAGATGTTTCTGCAAAGCAAATATGGTTTAAAGAAAAACCTGAAGCAGCTGCAGCTCCGATCCTTTCTACTCCAGAATCCAGATTTTAACCGTTTCCAGGATTCCGGGATCATTTTGAATCATTTTCAGTATAAGAAGCCTAACATCTGCAGGTAAACATTCAGAGCAGGAACCACCTGGAGTCCTGACCAGGACCTGACCTGGAACCTCCAGGTTCCACCTCTGGGACCTCTGAGGAACACCTGCAGGTGATCCAGGTGTTGAACTGGAGACCGGACCGGGCAGCAGAAGAATCTGATGCTATGGAGGGAAATAAAAGCTGGAGATAAACATGTTCCCTACAGGAAGTGGCCCAGATGGCAGCTTTAGCTTTAGCTCGGTAAACTGGTGAAAGAGAAGTGATCCTCTACTGGTCATACTGGTCCCAGTGGTTGCTCCGCTCCAGAAGGACCTGGAGGAACTCACCTGTGATGATGGCGGTCTTCCCATGAAGCTTTGCGTCGCTCTTACACCTGGGCAGCTTCAGGACCGTCTTTCGCAGGAGGAGGTAGATGGCGGCGAAGAGACCTCCGAGAAGGAGGGTGATCATCCTGGATGTGAGGACGGAGGAGAACGTCTGGATGGAGGCGTCTGATCCTCAGACTGAGCCCTGAGGGAGGAACCAGGAGGAGCTTCTCTGAGAAGGAGGAGGTTCTCTCTCTGTAGGAGGAGGTTCTTCTTCATCAGGAGGAGGTTTGCTGACAATCAAACCTCCTTGTTTCTAATATTTCTTCATTTCCATCCAGTAGTTTTTGTTTCATGGTTTTTAATGACTTTGTTCTAATTTAGCTCCATAAAATCCGACCTGATGCTGAGAAACGAGTCGATAACGAGTCTCTGATTGTCGCTGAACACAGACCTGCAGCGTTTAGTAATTATGGACTCAATAAAGTCTGACAAAGGAAAACCAGTCAATTCTATTCAGTTTATTTCTATAGCTCCAATTCACATCATGTCATCTCAGGTCACTTTCCAGTTCATCAGATCATCCAGTCAGATTGATTCTAAGTTTTCTATCTAAGGAAAACCAGCTGATTGCATCGACTCATTGACTCTTCAGCAATCCCTCACACTAAGCATGCTTGTAGCGACAGTGGAGAGGAAAAACTCCCTTTGAACAGGAAGAAACCTCCAGCAGAACCAGGCTCAGTGTGAGCGGCCATCTGCTGAGGCCCACTGGGGTTCAAGGAGACAGAAGCAGACATAGAAAAAGAAGCATAGATACAAAAGGCAACTGTCAACCAGCTCCACAGGCGGCCCCGTCCAGGAAACACACAGCCAGGCAGACGAGCTCCGAGCCAGCTCCCATGTCAGAGGATGAAGAGAGCACATCCAGTTAGTCACAGTCAGAGAAACAGGACTACACTGGAAAACAGGCCAAGCTCCAACATCTAGAAACAAAGGTGTTGATGGCAGCAGCACAGCTGATATTTCATTTTTCTTAGGCTTAAGCTTAGGCTTTAGCTCTACTGTTTTTCTGCCTGCTGGTCATGGCTGAGAAAGTTTAAACCTTCTGAGGCTAAAAAGAGAAAAAGGGATCGAGGAAAAACAAGAGTCCATCTCGGAAATGAGTTTGTTCGTTGGCTCAGGCTGAAAAAAGAAGCCGGATGTAAAACCGATTCTCTTGTCTAGCCTTTATTATTAGACTGGTAAGTTAACACTGTGCTCCTAGTTTACAGTCAGAGATCTTTCTTATTATTTTTTAAAGTTTAGTAGAAGCAAAATACAGGCAGTTACAGGTCTAGCGCCCCTAGTGGCCAAAAGTTACACTGCGTGCCATTAAAGTATAAAAGTTAAACTAATGCAGGAAAAACTGTTCAGGCCAGAAGCTTTACTGCTCTACTCTATTTAAGGAACATTTTTCTACAATTCTGGATGAAAACTTCCTCAGACTTTATTTCCTTAGTTTTATAACTGATGGTAACAGCGTCACATTTATCTTTGCATCATCTTAAAAAATGATTTATTTTGGTTTGTGGTGAGCAACAAGTTGGGGCAGCACCGAATCCAACAACAGAGAGATTAATTATCTGGATGAAACTAATTATTTTGATGGTTTTTATTTTTTTAAACACCAACATGCCAGAATAAAAATTGAACAAAACTAATGAGTCTATTTTTAAAAGGAGTAGAAGGAAAAAATAATTACTGCAGTAAAATATAGATCCATCATTCCTACTGAAGTAAGGAAAGTATTTCTACTTTGTTACTTGATGCCTCTGATTATACAGTAGAGTGGAAGGAAAATATAAAAACTGTCTAATTACTGACCAGCTCTTCTAGGTCCAGTTAGGTTCTTCAAAGTTCTGCTGATGATCCGTTGGTTTGATGTAAGGATTTGGATCATAGACGCGTCTGAACACCGAATCAGAGCAGGAAGTGATTCATTAATCAAATCATTGTTCTTAGTTTGTCCAATCAGCAGGTCTGAGGTCATCAACTGGATTCATTGGTTCTGAGTTATTCTCAGGTAAACCCAGACCCCTGAACCGGACCTGCCAGGCCAGCTGACTCAATAATCTGGTTTAGACTGGGATAAAGTCTCTGATTAAACCTGCTTTATCTTAAAACATCAAACTGAGTCCTGAACCTCTGGTTCCGTCTGGACCAAAAGCACCAGAACCGTCCCTGGAACCCAGAACCTACCTCCTCATCTTCAGCTCCCTGATGGTGGCGCCATACTCCGGCTTTATGGTCAGGAGGAGCCTCCGATTGGCTGCTGCTCGACCAACCGCCTGCAGGAAACACGTCTGTCTCACTGATTTGTTTATCTTTGGACCTTTTCAGGCCCGGTTCTGCTCCCTGAGACTGAAGCAGCAGGAAGAGCGTCTGCTGAGGATGGAGAGAATAGAACCGTCGCTCTGAAAAAGATCAGTTATTGCTTTTCTCTCTAGGAGATCCAGCAGAACCTTAATGTCCTTCATCTTCTTCTGATGTGAAAACAATCAAAAATGGGCAGAAAATCTGCTGATAATCTGGATTGAACTTTCCTCTGATGTTCTGGACCAGACTAAAGCAGGTTCCCTTCTAGAACGTTCTCCAAAGCTTTAAACATGTCCCAGCTCCTTGTTCATGGAGAGAAGAGGAACCAACCAAGACATGGACGTCCACCTGAACGGATGAGGAGAGCATTGGCCAGAGGAGCAGCCTAGAGGAGCACGGTGACTCTGGAGGAGCTGCTGAGCTCAATCTGACCTTCATGGAGAAACACTAAGCTGCTGAAAGAGAGACAGGTGATTGTACACCTGGTAGGAGACACAGCAAACATGGAGGAAGGAGCTCTGATCAGAGGAGGGAACGTTACGTTTTTAGAAATACATGTAAATGGTGAAGGTGGGTGGAGACGGTATTATGCTGTGGGACAGGAAGGTGGATGGAGATAAATCCAGGAGAACCCTGGAAGCAGCAGACCTGAGACAGGCTGCAGGTCCATACTAACCATCAGAGAGAATGGCCTAGTCAAAGTCCAGACCTAAATCCAACTGAGATTATCTGACAAGAGAATTCTGCATCTGGCTGAACCTTGAAAAAACATGCAGATAAAGACAAGTTATAAATAAAACTTTAAAGGTTTAATCTTTGTGAATTGTTAAAAAAAGGATAATTTTCAGTCCTACTGCCCTGTTAATCTGTCACATTAAACCCCAACAAAGAGCAGTCAGGTTTGAGGTGGTAGAATATATGAAATAAAGTGAATAAACTGAATAAACAGGAATGAAACAGAGTCAAGTTAATTTAGCACAAATTTAAATCCAAACTAAAAATCTCTTCGAAAAGCCCAAACAGCTATTAATCCAGATTAGGGAAAAGGCAGGAATATGGAGAATTAAGGGGATTATTCACAGCCTTCGTTTATATAAAAATCTGAATATATAATCCGACGGGATTATAAAGGAATATACTTCTTTTTATGGACTGATTTATTCATGTTGCAGCTTTAACCTTCTGATGAATGTGATGTTTAAACGTTTTAGCTTGTTGAAGGCTGCTCATCGGCGCCCTCTTCTGGACACCGCAGGTACTTCTTCTCCTGCCTGATAAACTGGTAAAGAGATTAAATAAACTTCTTATCGCTCTCAATCAGCTCAGCTTCGCTGATTAAACTCATTTCTGGGTTTTGACTGTTTTTTTCTCCATTATTCATATTTTCATTCTTCGGCTGGATAAAAATTTCTAAGCCTTTATCTCCACCAGCAACATAGCAAACGCCTGGTTACCATGGTTACCGAGGACCTCGAACTGAAAAACTGAAAGTTTATGATTGTTTGTGTTTCTTTATGTATAAATATTCTCTCAAATTACATATACGTATTAAGTGCCGAAATATATGGTTTAATATTTTTTATCTAATTAATTTTAATCAGGCAGAAGGACGGCCAGCTGCTCCCTGGAAACGCATGTAGGAAACCCCGTGCGTTTCCCTGTGAGGTCCTCTTCTCAGGATCCGCCATTAGGAGTGAGCCGGTGGTAAGCTCCGCTCTGACTTATTTTTCCGTTTTTAATAAAAAATAATCATTTTATGAATAATTTCCTCCCAGATTATGCTTTTATAATCTAGGTGCGTGTTTTCCCCGCAGGTGGACCAAACCCCACGATGCAGATATTCGTGAAAACCCTCACGGGGAAGACTATAACCCTCGAGGTAAGCGTGATGGAGGAGTGATGCGTTCAATGACTCCCGTAACTTTTCAGATTAACAGTTAAAGTAAAGTTTTAAGTCCAGTGCTCTAAAAGCGAACATGGCGCTCTGCTTAGTGGTTATGAGCGGCTAAGCTAAAGCTAAGTGGCTAATGAAATAAAAGCTAACGCACAGTAAACACGTGGGGAGCTCATTGAACTCAGCTCAGAGCTCATCTACTGTTTTTAGATTATAATCTGATGATAGGAAGTTAAAAATAATCTGGTTTGTTTTACAGGTTGAGCCTTCAGATACCATAGAAAATGTCAAAGCCAAGATCCAGGATAAGGAGGGTGAGTTTCACTCTTTCACTGCTAAAATCATGGAATGCACTGAGTTTATTCAACGTTTCATGAAGGCCACTGTTTTTATAACTGTTTAATGTTTCTAATCAGGGAAAGCTCCTTGAAAAAGTAAATGATCGTTTCATATATTAAAGTTAATTATCTTAATGGGTTTAGTTTAATTAATAACTGCAGTTAAGCAGCTCTGGTTGAATGAGGAGCATTGACCTGTTCATATATCAGGCATCCTGCTGCTGTCCTGCAGGTTTCAGAGGTTTCTGCTCCAGCAGCTGATTTTAATTTATAGTTGATTAACAGGGTTTTGCTGCAATCATCAGAATCAGCTGTGCCGAAGCAGAGGAACCTCTAAAACCTGCAGGGCAGTGACCCTCAGGGACCGACTTTAGGGACGCCTGGTATATTAAAGGGTTTATTACATGAGGCTCTCTGCGTATAAAACGCCAAATCACTGAAAATGGCAACAAAGTCCTAACAGCTCTGAAAATCTAAAGAATGAGGTCTTTGCAAGCAGACCTTAGAATTTAATCAGTTATTTCTATTTGATGGAAGCTGTCTGAAGTTTGTTACCTCAGACCAGTTTAAATGAGCTTCAGCTGCTGCCGTCCTCCAGAGGCTCTTAACTGGCGGCTCTGGATTCTCCTCCACTCTAAGTACCTGCTCATCTCCTGAGGTCTGTTAATGGTTTGGGCTGTTAGAACATGAGAAGGGTGGATGATGGTGCTCCTTTAGTTCTGGGGCTCTTTGGACCCCTCCAGTGACTCTTAATAGTGGTTAAAAGTTATATAAAGAGCTAAATAATTGTACTAAATTAAATATCAGTATTAAAAGCGTTATTGTTTTTTATAAGACAGAAAATAATTAAATTAAAAGAATCAGAAATATGTTTTAAGAGAAGTATTTATTTTGAAATAGTTTGGAAATTATGTTTTGATATTATAAAAGCTATAAATACAAGTTGTTGATTAAGAGGGCAGGTAGTAAGTCATATATTTTGCTGCTCTAACAAACCTTTATTTGGTCAGACTCGGGTCGAGCGGCTCTCTGGGTGTGAACGGTTTCAGACTCCTGCTTTAGTTTGACCTCCAGGTTTCCTCCTTTGATCCAGCAAACATTTTAGAAATGACTGCAGTACTGTTTCAGCTCCAGGAAGTCTGTTAATCATCTTTTAATCGTCATTTAATTTAGTAATAGACTGTTTAACTGGAGTATACAGACTCTAAATCAGGCCTTTAGCTGATGGAGGAACCCACTTAGAGCAGGAATTATATTTACGATAAAACTTTTCTTCTTTCAGTCCGCTCCATCCAGACCTCAAGCAGAAATGCTTGTTTATCCTGGTTAAAATCTGTAAACTATCTTAAAGGAGCCTTTTGCTCTGCGATTATTAATCGGTCACATTAAAAAACAATCAACAGATGAATTAATAAATAAAATATAGTTTAGTTGGAGTCCTGATGGTCTTTCAGTCTGTGGCAGCAGAGGAAGTTTCAGGACAACTGGTGGAGAAACTGTTCCAAGAAGCTGAAACCAGAATTATTCTGGACCTGCGACACATTCTAGGTTAGATTGACTGTAATCTATGTTCAGCTGTGGGGTTTAAATCTGGTAACCTGACAACAGCCAGATGCATGTCTCGCTCCGCCCAGCTCCACTCACATACATCTGGGAACCCGCTCATTGAAAGTGATTTCCCCAACCGAATTTATGGTCTGTCCAATCAGGACGCAGGGTGGGTGTGTCCTGGAGTGGAGAAGCGACCGTGAGATTCCAACAACAATGGCGGCTCGCATTGAGGAAGCAAGCGTTAGCATTGATGCTGCTATTTCTTCTGTGTTGTCCAATCTTTCTGATATTGTTTCATCAAAAGAACATCAGAGAACGGCTTTGAAGGCTTTTGTTGGTGGAAACGATGTTTTCGCCCTTCTCCCGACCGGATTTGGCAAGAGCTTGATCTACCAAATGGCTCCTCCTCTCACAGCGTCACGGGTTAGCTTCGGTGTGAGTGGTTGAAATAGCACGTCAATAAAGATGACAGACAAGTGGCTTATCCAATCATATGCAAGGAGTTTTGATAAGGCCCAGCCTTCACTTAAGGCAATCCCTATGGCGGGTTCCCAGATGTATGTGAGTGGAGCAAGGCGGAGCGAGACATGCATCTGGCTGTTGTCAGGTTATAAATCTGGACCTTATCAGTCATTGGTTCATTGAGGCCTGGTGGCAGTGTGGTTAGGAGGGTTCTGATTGGTCCAACCAGGAAACCGCCTGCAGAACCAAAGGCCATAGATCCAAACAGGACAATTCCAACATGGAGGCTTCAGGCTGTTTGGACGTAGAATAAAGACTCTGTTCTATTTAAATGGATCGATTTAACACCCGTCAGCTGTAGGCTAGAAACGATTCAACCAGATCCTTCCATGAAGTTTTAACATTTCCTAAGGAAAGTCATCTGATTCCAGCAGGTTTAATTCTGCAGTAGAAGTTAAAGTTTTACTGATTTCCGGTTTAATTTCGTAACAGAAAAATGTTCTGGACCCAGTTTAACGTAGCAAACCTGCTCCTGTTGGTTCCAATCTGTGCTTCATGCTGAGCCGTGTTTCTGTGCTCTGCTCTGATTGGCCGATATAAAAACATTTGATCTGCAGCTAAGCAGCAGTTTCACATTGAAAACCTGTTAAACTTAGGAACCAATTCCTGCGTTCTGTGATTTGGACCTCATGGTCTTTGTGATCCTGCAGGAATCCCTCCTGACCAGCAGAGGCTGATCTTTGCCGGGAAGCAGCTGGAAGATGGGCGGACGCTGTCGGACTACAACATCCAGAAGGTAACTGGGATGAAATGATGGCTGCAGCTTTGAGATGTTCCTGATGAGAGAATCAGAGGTTCTGGAGTCAGATTTCCTCCTAATGTTCGGTGTTTCCAGGAGTCCACGCTGCACCTGGTGCTGAGGCTGCGAGGAGGCGCCAAGAAGAGGAAGAAGAAGTCTTACACCACCCCCAAGAAGAACAAGCACAAGAGGAAGAAGGTCAAGCTGGCCGTCCTCAAGTACTACAAGGTAGGAGCTCAGAGGGGGGCGGAGCCTCCAGAACCGACCCGGAGGCCTTGGCTAACGCTTCTGTCTGCAGGTGGACGAGAACGGGAAGATCCACCGGCTGAGGCGGGAGTGTCCCGCTGACGAGTGCGGCGCCGGCGTCTTCATGGCGAGCCACTTCGACCGCCATTACTGCGGGAAGTGCTGCCTGACGTACTGCTTCAACAAACCTGAGGACAAATAGGCGGCAGACTGGAGACAATAAAGATGTTTGACCTGAACCCGCCTCAGAGTGCTGATTGATGCAGAACCAACCGATTCAGTCTGAACTGGATCATAGAAAACAGCGTCTAGAATTAACCCTTAGATTATGGACCAATCTATAACCAGGAATTAAAATGATGATGATTATAGAATTACAGTAATTACTGTATATTAGAGATGTCCCGATCCAGGTTTTTGCACTTACGATCCGATACCGATATTGTTTTTGGACTTCCAATCCGATACCGATACTGGCCGATACCAGCCTATCCGAGCATGTATTTAAGTTTAAGTATTTAGCCTTAGTTGTAAGACTCATGTTGAAAAGGGTTTTAGTACTCTTGATAACATCTAGCCAGCTGAATTAGGTGAGATTGAATAAAACACAATGATTGGTAACAACAAGCTTACCTGTTTGTTAAGAGATAAATACAAACTGGAAAAAATTATGAATAGCAATCTGAAATTGCACAGTGAACAGTAAAACCGTAAACAGTTAAAGGTGCAAGTATTACGGTTAGTTTAAAAAAATGCAAAACTGGCGCAAAAAAGTGGAATGGATCGTTTCAATCGGCGAAACTGGAAAATACGGACCGGATTTTTTTTAAAAAACTGGATCGGCATTTTACATGCTTTGCCGATACGCATTTTTTTGCCAATATCGGCGTGCCGATCCGAAACGTGGATCGGGACAAGCCTACTGTATATCTGCCACGCATCCTTTTAGCATCTTTAAATATTGAGCCGATCTGGTGAGTGAATTCTTCCACTGAGATCAATAAAATGTAATCTTCAGGAAAAACCTCCCCTGGAATCGATCAGGGTCTCAGTTTAAGCTTTTTTTGCTTCATTTAACAAAGAATGAAAAAGATTAGATGCACTGAATAGAACTAATAATAGGTAGTAAATTGGAGCACGAGAGAGAATGAAGGAGAGAGAAAAATTAAATCCGATGATTTTTGCCTCTGGTCTTAATGTTGGTGAATCACTGATCTCTATTCATTCCCTGATTGCCCGTTGGTAGTAGGCCTACTGCGTTGAAGTGAAGCCACCGGCCGCCATATTGGTACTCCCTAGTTAGATCGTCTCAATGTAAACAATCAGGTTGCTACAGCATCAAACAACCATGATGTTCTCATTTTCAGGGACTGAAGACTTAAAGATAAATTCATCACTTTGACACAGACTGGCTGTTTCATAGCATCAGTAGATTAACTTTAACTTAGAATAAATAAATCGGCCCATCACATTGAATAGTCATTATGACATCAATGAAGTCTATAAATCATGTAATATAACATATATAGATCACAATAAGATGAATACAGATTAGCCAAAAGTGATAAATTGATCATGTTATATACATGGATTTATTTTAGATATAGGAGTAAAATGTTTTATTTTTCAATATAACCTGCAAAATATTTCATGACTTTTTCAAATGAGAAATAAACCAAACGTTTCAAAAAAGACATCATCCACTGAATAAAGAATTCCTACATTAACATTTCACAGTGAATTACCTTCTATTTCCTCTTTCTATTTCCTAACGTTACACCCAATGTCAGTGGCTAATGTCTTCCAGTCAGTCTGAGATAGCCAGACTGTTAGTCTACAGACTAAACTATAGGATCCATCGGCTATAGATGGATTTATTGCTTAGTTCATCCACTGACTGGGAAATTACCAGTGGAACGTCTTACTGCAGACAGAAAACTGCTGGTTTTAGCAGCTAAATGCTGCATAGGGAGGCATTTTTACTGCCTGTCTGTTGGAGTGGGCAGTACCAATATGGCGGCCGGTGGCTTCGCTTTTTTCGGCAAACCAGCAATCCAGTGGGTGGGACAGTGTAACCTCTGCATTTACAGCAGTGGATTTAATAAACACATGGATAAAATTAGTCCCTCTAATAAAATGAAATTAAAAAAAAACTCAACGGTCACAGAAATAACTTAAAAGTGACCAAATGAAATTTCTCAAAAGTGTGATCCAGGCTTCAAGAGCACCAACAACACCAAGTCAAATTCCTTGTAAGTGCAAACCTACTTGGCAATAAACTTGATTCTGATTCTGAAGAGAATGATTACAAATAAAATAAAACAGTCTTGGACTAAACTGATGGTTCCCTTCATATTCAGTCCCCAACCTGCAGAGTCAATCTGAGTCAGAACATTCCAGAGTTTCCCTCTCAGCTGTTTCTGTGTTTTGGCTCCTGATCCTGGGTCCCCTCCTATTCAATATCTACATGCTCCCTCTGGCTCAGTTAATAAACAACATCAGCTACCATAACTATGCAGACGACACACAGCTTTACATCACCATGTTACCAGGTGACTATGAACCAGTTCAAGCACTGAGGAAATGCTTAGAAGAAATCAATGCCTGGATGTGCCATAATTTTCTTCAATTGAATAAAAACAAAACTGAAGTAATAATCTTTGGACCAATAGATTGAACTTACCTGTCCAGGTATGTTGACGCACGTAGTAATTCGCTTAACGTTGCTACTCGGATCCTTTTATTTAATTCAATTTCAATTCTATTCAGTTTATTTCTAGAGCTCCAATCCACATCATGTCATCTCAGGTCACTTTCCAGTTCAACCAGATCATCCAGTCAGATTGATTCAAAAACCAGCTGATTGCATCGACTCATAGGCTCTGTTCGAAAACCTAGGACGGGTCCTCCAAGGACGCGGTCTACCTAGACTGGATCCTTCAAAGTCCTTGAAAATAAGGATACCGGAAGAGTTTTGGCTGTGAATTCAAACAGGTCTACCCTTCGGCGGGTTTTACCGCCGTATGCTCTGTTGCTTAGCAACCATGAACGTTGACACACAAAGCAGGAAAAGAATGAATACAGAAGTTTTCAAAACTGTTTATTTATTTATTTTTTATTGTGAAGTGAACAAAGACTACACTCACAAGAATCCAGAGTGGAATAAAGATTCCAACCAGCGGGAGCAGGAACAGATAAAATCAAATGTAATGATAGAAACCTTAGTCAGTTAAATAACCTGCTGCTGTCATTCTGCACATCTCTGATGTTGCTGCTATTTTCAAATATCCATCACTGTAAAAATGTCCATAGCTGCATATTGGTTATTTATTCTCCAGTTTTATATTGTTAAAACACTTTACAGTATTTTATTGTTTATATTTTAACTCTTCCCTATTATGTTATTCTTATACATTTCTCTAAGGTCCTCATCTGTGTGACCATTTTCAGTAATCTTTCTGCTGCTGTAAATTTGCCCATTGTGGGACAATGAAGGGATTTTCTATTCTATTCTATAAAAGGGGTAGAAAGATATAAGTAAATCTAAACAATGTATTTATAAAAAATATATCTGCAAAATCTCTAATATTCAACAACAAAAAATACTTAGTTAAGCATATTGTGCAAAACAGCAATAAAAAGATAAAAATCCTATCAGATTTAGTCCCCACTCTGCAGATCTATTAGAATCGGTCCTTAAATTCCAGCCAAACTCATTTACACAGTAACAGATTAAAACCTTTAGATAAATCAAACATTACCGCCACATATCTGACTCAGTAACCATTAAAACAACTATTTTCATTCATTTCAGACGGAACTATTCACAGAGTTGTATTATATTAAACTGAACTTCCAATTTTCACCACTGTTCGGCGCCAAGTAACCTTTCCTCTGATCACAGCTTGCTTGGTCTCGCAATGAATCCTGGGATATCCAAGGATACCAAGGATACATCGGACCCGTCCTTCAAATCGGGCAAAAAGAAGGACGCATTTTAAGGTCGCATGACGAGGACTCTTGGAATCCGACCAGACCTCGGCGCCGCGCTATGATGTAATCGGCCTTCGAATCCGGTCTTCTAAGGATGCGTCCTAGGTTTTCGAACAGAGCCATAGACTCTTCAGCAATCCCTCACACTAAGCCTGCTTGTAGCGACAGTGGAGAGGAAAAACTCCCTTTGAACAGGAAGAAACCTCCAGCAGAACCAGGCTCAGTGTGAGCGGCCATCTGCTGAGGCCCACTGGGGTTCAAGGAGACAGAAGCAGACATAGAAAAAGAAGCATAGATACAAAAGGCAACTGTCAACCAGCTCCACAGGCGGCCCCGTCCAGGAAACACACAGCCAGGCAGACGAGCTCCGAGCCAGCTCCCATGTCAGAGGATGAAGAGAGCACATCCAGTTAGTCACAGTCAGAGAAACAGGACTACACTGGAAAACAGGCCAAGCTCCAACATCTAGAAACAAAGGTGTTGATGGCAGCAGCACAGCTGATATTTCTCTCCAGGATGGAGTCACAGCCAAACAGGAACAGACCAGATGAAGCTACTATGAGAAAAAGCAGAGAGAGCAGAACGTTAGAGATTGAACTAACAGATTCTGCAGAGTGGGAGAATAGAGATAGAATGAAGCAGAATGATGAAAAAGGGGTCCCTATGTCCTCCAGCAGTCTAAGCCTATAGCAGCAGAACTATAGAGATAGCTCAGGATAACCTGAGCCACTCTAACTAGAAGCTTTATCAAAAAGGAAAGTTTTAAGCCTAGCCTTAAAAGTAGACAGGGTGTCTACTCAACTGTAAGTTTTTTTTTCATTCTAGTTTGAATTTTGTCTTGATGAATTTTAACCATTTTTTCCTGTTTTTTATTCTGTTTTCTGATGTTTGGAGAAAAAGTTCCCTTTTATTTTATCCCAGAGTTTTATCTCTTCAGGATGATTAGATTATTATCATAAACAGCAGATATTTCTTTGTTTTCTTTACTGGATTAAGTGAAACTTCTCATTTCCATAGATAGATACTCGCGCTCCCCCATTAAAGTCAGGGACGACATCTCCCAGCTACTTCCTGTCAGTCATTTTAAAACAACACACAATGACGTCGCTGTTATTGTGCGTTTGATTCAGTCAGGGTTTTATTCATTTTATCTTTGCAGCAGATAATCAATTTGTAGATTTTTCATGACTGTAACATAAAATATTTCCTAATGTTCAGTCAGAGACTAAAATGATGGCTCCATGGC